TATTGGATAACCTTTTCAACTGAGGTTATGCCATTCAGACCGAAGAGCTATTTGAAATGTATCCGTTTTCAGATTAGAAAAAAATAAAACATCTGTATAAGCCAATCCGAAGGTGATGTGATCGGTTTTGTCTTTTATCAGCTAATCAGTGCAATAATGCCAGGAATTTGGAATCCATACAGGAGAGATAGCCGCTGTGATAGTATGGTGCATTGAAGAACAATTGTTCAAGAAGTATTGAGATTAGTTTCATTCTTCTGTCGAATACTAAATGGGTTATCCACGTAAGTTGAAGGCTTGTTTAGATAGCTTAAATACCAGTGTAACCACGTTTGTTTTCCGTTTTGCGCCTTCAAAATGCACAATGTTACTTCAATATTGGGTTGGTCCAGCACCCAGACTCACTAATCCAACCCGGGGAAGTGATAGAGCAAGTGGATATGTTTTGTTATTTAGCCAACTACATCTTATACGGTGATCAAATCAAGGATAAAGTGTCAGCTTGCAAAGCGAAGGCTCGGTTGACATTTGCCAACTTCCATACGGCGCGTAAATTCGGCCATTAAAAATACAGGATATAGGTAGACTGTGGGTTTTGAATACAGCTGTCTACGCAACATTGCACGAATCTGATGGGTGTCAGCCGGGCGAGTAATGCTGAGGTGAGGCGCAATATTTCAGGCAAACGTGGTTGCACAATGGAACAAATAGTCGACCTCAAGAGTAGTAGCTAAGTGGTTAGATCACCAAATTGTGACCTCGAAATCGCGTCTTCAAATCGCTCCACCGTAAAGCTTCTTACCCATTTCCGTATTTTCTCAAGTAGCCTTCGTAAACTTTTTACCTGTAAATATCTTTTCACTTCGTTTTTTCTGATTTATTCAATATTCAAATTAACAGGCCACATTCAGGAAGGGGGCCGCAGCCATACAAGGGCTGCCTGGGAAGATGGGCGGCGGTGGTTGGGTTTGAAACCGGGACTTATGGGTCATAAATTAGTAAAATAGCCATTTGACGTTGGTAAAGGTATATCACCAGATAGATTAACACGGTGAGCGCTGTTCGTGGATGCAGGTAGTGGTTGGAAAAAGCCAAGGTTGGTCAAGCTAAGACCTGATGTGAGGGTATAAAAACTCTAACCAGAAGTCTCAGTCACATAGGTCCCGTTAGGCTCTTTGGGTCGGGACATCGGGATGATCGCACCCGATGGTTAGATATGCCGAGTGGCTGAGTGTCGTAAACGGGCGTGTTCATGTATATTGTTAATTTATCTACAACATTAGTTCTCCTAAAGTGTACATTTTCTGTGTGATCCTACTTTCAACCTTTCCTATCTTTCATCTACTGTTCATCTCAATAGGCAGTCAAAGAGCAGCAACCAAAACCGGTGCATGAAGCGACATGATTGTAAAAACTAAATTAAAATTTACTAAATGGTTTCGGCGCATAAATATATATATATATGACATTTATGTGTTTTTTATTACACACCTAGGTGTGATGAACAGCAAACGGGGTAAACCTCATGGTCACGAGAACCTGCTGTTCAGTGGTCTGAAACGGCAACCTAAGCCCCGGAACTTGGAGTGGCGAACCATATAAGGCCCCGATAGGTTAGGCGTGGTATTGAACCGAACGACAGCAGAGCCTCCTACCACCAAAGTCGGGTGTCGGTGGCGGGGCTCGAAACTCGGACCATT